ATAGTGTCGCAAAATAACAAGTAATGACCGGGAAATCGATGTCAAATTATTTCTCGCTAAATTCAAATCGGAAAGTTATCAATAGCAAACGTTAGATACTGTAAAAAGGGCGTACTTGATGTAGAGAGCGAGTAAACTCATTTTTAGTTCCCCATACATTTTTTTGTAATTTCAAGGGTCATTAGAGCGTGACGCGCGTGAAAAATACCAAATGTATTGAGAACTAAAAATAAATTTTCTCTCGCTCCCTTGATGAAGTACATCCTTCAAGTTTGGCCAGATAACTCCTTATTGTAGTATCTAACGTTTGCAATTAATAATTCTTTCCGAATTTGAATTCAGCGAGAGTTATTTGACATCGATTTCCCGGTCATTCCTTAGTTATGATGACTGCCAAAACCGTCAACTCATCTATTGCGTGTATGTGAGAACTGGCTGCTAGAATGAGCAGTTCTTATAACAGTWCATATAGCAGTTCATTAACCCAGCAGATATTGAAAAAATTGTCCTTTCATGTAATTRTCTGCGACCACGGAGCAAGGAAGGGGGCTGCCCCTACCCCTCGCTATTATGTTACGCAGTGCAATTCAGCATCTTTTTCACTCCTATTTATTTTCATCTCGTCAATTTCATGTCCCTTAGACTGAATATTTTAAAAGTKTTGGCCAACATACGGCACCTTGAGATTACATGTTGGGCATACATACCCGCGCGTGTGGTCGACCTCCTGCCTATGGATAGGGATGTTGTGATTCTTCTTCGTTATACTTACTAACACAGTATAAGCATCTATTTCGATTTACGCGATCTTTCTTTTTATCTTTCTTTTTTTAACAATATTATAGAGATTTTAAATATGACGACATATATCAGGATGCAGACTGCTGCAGTGGGTGCAAAATGTCCAAAAGCCTAATCATTGCAAAATGATAAAGAAAAAAGTTCAAAGTACGCTAAAATACTGTTTATGTCTTAAAATATAGAAATTAAAGCTTGAAAACTTAATTAATCCGATTCAACTGATAATCCTCTTTTCGAAAGGTTTTGCCAGCAGATTTTCGCGTTTTGCGGTTCAGACCAGTCAGGCGTTCCAAGCTCCCTCTCGCTATCTATGAGAGTGCGCAAACTGCTTCACTTGATTGGACCATTTGTGTCACGTGAGCTTTGTATTGATAATTTCACCGCGAAACGATTCAGAGCCTCGCGCCAAAACCAAAATTGTATGTTGCATMTTGAGAACATGTGAAAGTTTGTTTACATGGATCCCATCATCTCTTCTTTTATCCATGGAATACAATCCTCTTATTATTAGCTACCGTTAAGATTTGGTATTTGCCCTCGGTTTGAGATTTGATGGCAAATGTTTCAGGTTTTTGTACGASCTTGGTGATCGGAGGAGTGAAATCTCGAATGAAATGTAAGTAAATTGTGCATTTTTTCTGGACTGTTACTTTCGCATAATGATTCTACTCTTCTCTAAAGCTTGCTGAAGTGCTGCTATGTGTATTAGTGCTGCATATTATATATTCTTTGTCTTTTAAAATAACTTTGACCAACCATTCTGCTTCGTGACATCGGTCAGCTCTTTGCGATCAGTTGCTGGCATATCCAGAACTACAGAACCAACATATTTCCAGATGAGAATGAATCTCGATTAATTTTTGCTATAGATGTCCGAGAAAATTGTTTTTTTTTATATATTTTATCTCAAAATTGTAACCATTTATTTTTTAGTGGATTTTTGATAGTTCAAGTGCATCTATTTTGAGTAAGCTGAAAGAGCCACCACTATGTTTGGTTCAGGGCTGCTAAACTTGATCAAAGAAATTCTGACCATTAAATTAGCCCATTTTTTTCTGAATCAGCTCAAAAGTACCTACATAGTATTAGGAACATGTCTAGCTTTTTCTATSTAATTTGATTTTTGGAAGTTAGTGTCTTTCAATATTCGTCCTCACCAATATTGAGCAGAGGGGGTCTGATGGACCATTGTGAACCTTASTTTTGTTTATATATCTCTGACTCGTCTATAACTCACTAAAAAAACTCTTTTATAAACACWAAGTAATGCATTTKATGAGCTTATTATATTTTTGTGGATCTGGGTTTTAAGAAGAAGTAATTGTGTGGATGCAGTTTTTCGGTTGTACCCTTGCCTGCCCCTCCTATTAAATCCCTTTCTCTGAATATTTGTCYCTGTCGACGTACGTGTTCAAAGCGATCGCAAGCATTTTATCTCTCGGCTGTAATGTGGCTTTCCTTTGGTAATACTGTMGTTGAAATCACTAAGAACACTAATGAAAACTCGTCGAAATCATGTCTCCAAGCAAAGGTACTCCTTAAACGGACTGTTTATGTTTGAGTAAACTAAATTTCGACAGCTTCGAAGTCGGTTGGGGTTTTCTTGTCGAGCGGCATCAATGCAATAATAGTTTCACGCATTTTCATCTGCAGGATTTATTAGTTAGCACACAAATATATGCAAACGTTTTATCTTTTGACAAGTTTTGAGCTTGTGCAGTTCACTAAATSTATTGAGGAACGACAATCGCTTGACAACCGAAAGAGGGTCGTTCAGTCGCTTTGAACTTCACTTTGTCACAACGGCCATTGTTGATTTGTTTTGATCGTTTTTGCAGGATGACCGTCAACTCCAATGCCTTATCAACTCATGATACTTCAGGGCGAAAAGATCAGACAACATTGGACCCTTCAGATGGTACATTACGTAAAGATTCGACTGTATTGCATGAAACGAGATCGCAGAAACTTGCCAGAGTCAACGGCCAACAAGATGACCACGCGGAAACAAAAGAACCCTCGCCACATCAACCCGAATTATCGTCTTCAAACGTCCGAGTTTCTACAAGAAGTAGTACAAGACCTCAGAAAAGACAAAGAAAATCTTTAAGTTCACCTCAAGCGACTGTACAACATGGTAAGAAAGAGAGATCCCGTTTTGTATTAAGCTGGTACGCAGTGACGTACAGTGGCAAGCGGCCATTACGAATTGCCCTTACCGTCTGTAGTGAGGTTGAGAGCTCTATGTTTATAATTTGCCTCACTGTTAGATCCAAATTATGTGAAKTTCTTGGTTAAAGTTTTTGATAGTTGAATGTACTATTATTTTGGTTTTCTTGCACCATCTGTATTTTGTTCCCATAAAACTCAGTTTCATTTTGCTTTTTGTCTACAGTCAAGAAGAAATAAGCTTCATATTCAAAATCAACTTGAACACGAGAACYATCATTACTATCCGTGACAATTCAGTATTAATTGGAAGATGATTGGAAATGTCTTCTGGATTTTGATTTTTATCACTTTTTGCAAAACTMTRCTTCCATGTTTCTTCCTTTTATGATTTTAGTCCCTCAGTTCTTTGTTACTAAATTTCCCATTTTCTTGCATGTAATGAAGTATCATTTCCCTCCTCAGACACTCCAACRACTGGTTCATCAAGAGCAACAAAGAAAACTGGAAAGAAACGCAAGCGGCAGTGGGAATCTTGGAGTCAAGAAGACAAAAATGCTTTCTTTGAHGCCTTACACGAGCATGGCAAAGATTTTGACAAGATTCAAGTTATCTTACAAACAAGACACAAACGTAGAGGAGACCCAAAGAACCTCATCAAAAACAAAGACCAAGTGAGACATTTTTACTATCGTACGCTAAATAAGATATCAAAATACGTACCAAAAGACAAGCAATTTACCACTGAAACCGATCCTCATCAAAAGACTGTTCTGGAGCTTCGTAGTTTAACTTGTTTTGGAGAGTTAAGAAAAAGAATTGGAGGGCTTGGGGAAAAACAAGGGAAAAAGTTACATGAACTTTTGGAGTATGGATGGACGACAATTCGTCAAAGTGGACGTAATGCAAGGTTAAAGGCACCTACATGTAGAGCTTTAAAAAGGTTAACATTAGGGGATACATTAGGAAAATGTGATGAATCATCCAATCTTCCACCACCGGTTCCTCCAAAGCTTGATTTGGAGTTCCTTCCAATTGATAACGCCACTTGGCTAGCTGTTCAAGGAATTTCAAAGAACCCTAGGTTAAAGACCACTGTATCATCTAAGAAACCACTGAGTCTTGTCATAACATTTCTTACAAAGAAATGGCCTGTGAAATCATCCAAGCCAGGAACCAATGAGTTTTTGGCTCTTTGCATTGCTRTGCCTGTTGAATTTGTTCTGGCAGAAGATTCACAACAGAGTGAAAGTACGTTGAGTGACAGCTTACCAGACTTGAACAAGAATAGCACCATTGATAGCAATCAACACAAGGAATTGCCCTTGGAGAGTGACATTCCGAATTTAGCAGACAGGGAAGTGCAGTGCACTAATCCGTCATTACAACTCCCTAATGTAAATAATCCCTCAATTAGTTCGCATAGTATCTCGAAAGATGATCACAATGTTGCTGGATCAACAGATAGCTCAACCAATGAGCGCAAATTATGGACATCTGCAAACTGCGGTAATATAACTATTGGCGATATTTACTGCAAATTGCAAAGGCCACCTAAACTCAAATTTGAGTACTTATTTCAACAAGTTGATACTTCACCAGTAATGCATGGTAATAATGCACTACAGAAACTTGTTAGTATCGCAAAGACAGAGTTTCTGTCTACAAAGAAGGGCTCGACGGCAAGCAGAGCAGCAKCTGGTAATGCTGACTCTAGCAAGCCTGCAAATAGAATGACTACAGGAAGAACACTGCGAATTGCTCCTAAAGCATCTGAACGTTTTTCATTTATTTTGCCGTCGATATTTCAGCCTGCACCKCGGCAGATGTTTAATCAAACTTCATTAGTCAATCCTTCATCGTCAATGAAGACAAGTAGCACTYCTAGTTATGTGAATAGCAGGAAAAGACTGAAGAAGAACCAGCAACCTGTCACAAAGTCTCCAGCTGTTGTACAAAGAAAACTCTTACCAAATCCAGTGAATGCAATGCCTCGTGGTGCTGTCGCTGTGTCGTTTATTCCACAACCAGTGCAGCCTATAAGTCCTGCTCCTTCACCTGTTTTTTGTCCAGATACCACAACACATGCATTGTCYCCTGATGTGTCTCCTAAACCAGGTTTGTTGTCACACCTTCASTTCTGTCAGTTTTTATTAGCCACCATACTTTAGTATAATGCAAGTGCATTTACAGTGCAATTGTATGATGCTTGTTATGATTCCATTTTTCTGTGCATCAKTACTCTACAAGGTACATGGATGATGGCAAAATGTGGAGGTCAAAAAGTACCAAGTAAAGTGACATTGATATTGCTCCACCTTTTGATGTCTTCTGTGTACATCTATTACAGTGAAGACCTAGGAATAATAGAATATATTTGTTTTATATAATTTTTCCCTCTATTTTGTATTTGGAATAAAGTAATTTAAATTGAAACAACGAAAACAACATAACAGAGAGACAGTACACACTGGTTCTGACCAATCAGAGCGCAAATAAATGTCACCCATGGCAACAAACTGTAGCACTAGTGAAATATGCTGTACTCATTCTTTATTTGTAGAACACTCTATCAATATGAATAAAACCTTTCTGATAACCATGTACACTGACGCATATTTTGTGTTATCCTTTCAGTTGCAAGCAGTACTGCAACTCTAACAGCTACAAAAACTATTCTTGCTGACACACCGCCACCTACAAGTCCATTAACTCCTGTGACCTCACCTTCTCCGTCCAGTAATGTCATAACAACAGTCTTAGAGACAGGTATCCGACAACATCCTGTAGCAGACAATCCTACTGCTCCTCAAGAGAACATCTCCTCTGGACTTAATGACATATCTTGTATTTCAAATCCTGTTGTTACTTTACCAGAAGTTGACCAACTTATTGACACACTGCAGAACTTTACTCCTAGAGCTGTTTCTTCYGGATTAGAMAGTGATATCAGTGCAGTGAATAGCTCACTACAACTCGATCCAGYTGTTACTATGAACGATGATTCAAGTTCAGAACTTCTTGCTAGTATAATAGGGCTAAATGCATTCCCAACAACCAATACTCAGACATTATCAACAGTATCTGATTCTCAGAACATTAAATCACCAACAGAAGGGCATATTCAAGAGCTAACTACAGGAATTGCTGGGTGTTCTGCTGTGTCATTCCCGACGACATCTTTTGTTGACATTCTCACTGCATCAAGTACAGGAACTGTACCATCAGTTGCTACATGTACAGCCACTACTCATAGTTTGTTTTTTAACTCAGTAACTGAAAACTCTAGTGATGCTTTTACWGTAACCACAAATGATAAGCCTTGTCTTTCACCAAATAATGTACCTACTACACTGTTTGCTTCACCACAAGCGTCACCAGTGGGGATGACATCRCCAACACCTGACCATCAATGGTTCAATGGAGAGGTGAGGAGACAATGTAGTAATGTAGTAAGAATTTAAAATTATATTTCTATTGGCCATTCCGAAATTCAAAAGGAGACTGGGAATGAGTGTGAAAAAATTAATTTTGTCTAAAACTGAAACTCACCACATGAAAGACCACACTAGAATAAGGGTTCTTGTCAAGTTTGTGCATATTTGGTTGAATACTCAACAAGTAGGAATATTTTCAAATTTGTAAAAATAAGAGAGAATGTGTGGTTTTTGGGGACGCTGCTCAAAAACCTCCATACATTCTTTGTAATTTTTTCGAGTTTATAACGCTTTAAACGCTTTAATTATTAATCCGAATACACTCAAACTCAGCAGCTGTAATAATTTTAGTTTTGCTCTTTCTTGTCCTGGTGTCTGTTTTTTGATTGCTTCAAACGGCATCGAGTTTGTGACTAGTCACCAGTCCCTTTTTGAATTTCAGAGCAGGCAATCGTCTCAGAAATCAGGGCAAAAAAAAGATCTGGGTCATGTCCAGACTCCAGTGAAACTGGCCACATTTTTTACATTTTTAAAGCTATTAATGATTTCACTTTGCTGGATTTTGTGTACTGTAATACCCTGGAGACAGTTATACAAAGGGTAAAATGTGCAATCTGCCAGATAAGTCTTAAAAAAATCCATACCAAATCTGTCAAGTTGATAACTTTACCCTGTAGATAACTTAATTATTCACCCTMTTACAACCAGCACTAATAATGAAGTATCAGTATTATGGGAGTCTATGATGGRTTGTGCAAAAGAAGTCCATTTTACAGTTACATGTATATCATTCTGAAATTTAAAGTCAGGCATTTCATGAAAATCAGTGGTATAAAAGGTTTTCACAACTGCTTGACTTCAATTTCAAAGTTTAACTGTATTTTCTATTGTTAGTTATTACAGACCTTTGCCTCTATCATGTGATATTATTGTCTAAATATTATTAAATGTTATTTCTTTATTAACTCTGAAATATTTCTACAGGTTTCAGATATTTCTCTCAGTTTATTTGGTGAGTATTAATTATTTTTCAGTACAGTAATGCGTATATTTGTCTGTCTGTCTTGTTTTGCTTACAAATCTTTTTAATTTTACTTAGAGTACAAACATTAAATGWGTGCAACACTTTCCACTATTTACTACAAAGTAGTGTTAATTAAACAATAGAAAACAATAGAATTAGCATAATTTAGCAGTATTTAGTGGTATTTATGTTGCACAGTTTTAGTGTTTGTACTCTCTCATCATTTGTTTGTCTGTTTGCCTTTCTGTGACTCTGTTCGTCAATTAGTCCCCTCCACATGCCGTGCTTGGTCATGGTTCTCGCCATAATAAATAGGAAGACCAAATCAGATACATAAAGTAATTCCTGCAGAGGAAACTATAATTTTTTATCTACAAAATGATTATTAYGGTTTAATAAATTAAAGTGACTTTCTGGTTTTCAGAAAAATTTGCAGTTTCACCAGAAAAGGAACCCAAGTTTGGGTTTGACGTTCCTAGTGTTCCATTGTTYACAGTCAGCAAAGATTCAGTATCACAGGACTCGTTGTTCGGTGGGAGATCAATGATCGAGGTAAGCAGTTAAAATTATCACCATAATATTATCATTTGTCATAATTGTATTCTGGTTGTACATTTTGTTTACGGTTCCATGATAATTTGTTGATATTAGGTACTACTTCTATTAACTTCCTTAAAGTGCTAGTCTTACCAAACTAACACGCCTCAAAAACAGGTTTTATGTATTCCATATCGTTGAAATAACCGTAAATACTAAAAATTGATCCATAAAAGCTCTGTTTCCATTTGAGTTTTGATGTAAAAAGACAGCAACAATCCCGTCCACCATTAAATATGAATAAGCGATTTTTGAATCAGCGGTTGCACGTATGACGTCAGAGGCGCACGTCGAGCAGAGACAACAAGAAAACGTCTGTGAAAACGTCTCTGACTGTTCATCTTCTTATTGAAAATTACCGCAAATTAGTGTTGAATTTGGCGCGAGTGCACCTCTGACGTCACTTCCTATGGAAATGTAATGAGTTCGACGGCATGCTCTCAAATAATGGCGGATCAGAAAACGCGAAATTCATCGATTCAAAAAGATATATTTTTGTTGACGTATAGACACAAAAAACAGCCAGAATACTATTTGGTATTTATATTTTATTCTGTATAAATTTCAAGAATTTTAGTTTTTTGATAAGACTAGTACTTTAAGATTATCCCTTGTATTAGAATACAATATTGTTTCATGCGCCAATGWAAGATTTCTTATCTAACAGACTGCTCAAGCTGAAAGAGCACTCAGGGCAATCATGGATGAAAACAGTGTTGATTATGTCAAGAAATTTCAAGACCTCACGAAACAAATAACCAGAGAAGACAAGTGTTCAAACAGTGGTGGAGAAAGCAGCTCAGATAGTTGTAAAAGTGGAGTCCTCTCCTTTAAAGATCTTCTTTGCAAACCRGAAAACCCAAGTGACTAAAATATTAAGAGTATAGAACTATTGAATATGCYTTTATGTTGAGGATGTTCATACAAAATAATTATATATTGTTTATAAGAAAGTTCAAATTTCTAAAAAACTGTACATATACAGTGTCTCTTTCTAGCCTACTTTAGTCTTCTACTCCAGGTAGTTCTTGGTTTGACACTCATTTCCAAGCACAAACTCACATCTTAATAGCCACTTTACAGTACCCTGTCCATGCCTTCTTGAAAGGTAACTAATAATGCCTATGCACAATAAATGCAGTGAGCCAGTTATTCAGTATCTATCATTRCAAGCTCAAGTGTAGTCTTGCTTTGATGGAAAGGTTCAGTTACTTTTCAAGGTAGCACAGAGAGCTGTGAATATTATTACTATAGTAAATCTAGTAGAAATACTGAAAGCTCTTATAAGCAAAACCTTAGCTAAAAAAACTAAGTTTTATCAAGAATACTGTATACCTGCTTTCCATAAAGCTGATTTACAAAATGTGACTATTAATGTACAATGTACATGACAGAACTGTACTGTCTAAATGAATCAACAATTAGACACTAGATGTGTCAAGCTTATGAACCCAGAATCAAAATCCTGACTGCTGTATGAATTACACACACACTTCAAGTTGCACAGGACAAGTTGCATCATGTAAATCACCCTACATTAACATGGTATATTATTGAATTTTGATCTGTTATAAGGACAATTATTTTAAAGTTCATGTTAGAGTTTTAAAAATCTATTTCAAGAAGTTCACTTGTTTTTTAATTTCTCCATCTGTAAACATGAGCACCAGTCACATTTGTAATTATGATTCAAAATTATGATAGCACTGTATTGATTTGAGATATGTTTCATTGAAAAAAAAGTCTATTGATAAAGTTACTAAAAAGCTATATTTGTCAGTTGATTCTTCAATTACTGCTCATGCATTAAAAATTATTGGTTAATATTTCAATACTTGCAAAATGGTGGGCCATAAATTTTATTTTTTCTTATAAAGCATACTTTCCTATCTTTTAAAAAGATTTCTGAAGTGAGCTACTTCTGGTTATTCCTTTTTTTCTTATTTATTTTAATGTTACTTTTCCCAATGTTTGAATGATGAATATTAAATAGGATCTATTTTAAAATACTTTAATGTTATTGCACATGAATAAATTTTCTGTTTGGCTTTTGTTTGAGTACACATTGTGGCTTGATAGAGTGGTTTTCATCGAACTGTGAAACAATTACTATTAGTCAGTGTTTAATAGTGTCTAATAGTTGTATTCTAATAAAAGAAAGCAATGGGTGTAGAGTCTACTAGCGTCTATTAGCGTAGGAACTATTTCACAGTCCGATGAAAATCGCTCTAAGAATTTAAAGTACTCCACATTTCATGGTTTACGAGGTATGAGCTGACCATTATTTCTGCAAGAATTATTTATTACTGAAATAATGGTGTGCACGTAGACTACAAAGACTGAAAGTGAAAACAACAGTCACTGACAGTTTCAATATGTGGAAGCAAATTTGGGGTCCATTATTTAATTTCATTTTGAAACTTGTCCCCACTCCTCTACTCATTTCTGAAAAAGCCATGATAATTGAAAGGTGCCTCAGTGTTTTTTACTCCAGATTGAAGCTATCCTGTTCACACCATGCACTACTCTGGAGCTGTGCTGATTACCAGCTCAGGGCTTGAAATAAGGGGAGGTCAAAGGACAATGTCCTTCCAAATTTGCTAAATATCCTGTCAAATCAGAATTTGAAAGGACGTGTTTACCAGCCCTATCTTTAAAAATTCATCATGACCTTCCAAAAAAGTGTTTGGAACAACATTATGTCCTGCGTATGTCCAGACATTATTTCGAGCCTTGGCAGCTAAAGATTCTTTACATGCATTTTAAAGACCACATTTAAATAAAATTAGCTGTCTGACAATTTAACCCACTTGTTTTTATATTACATAAATAGTTATTGCAGTTGTGAGGTTGTTCATTGAAATTTTAACTTCCAACCACTGAACATCCAGACACAATCCCATTCTCCAGAGCCTGCTTTCTTCTGACCTCTAGCTGTGCCACGCTCTTTGTCACAGACAGAAAGTTAATGGGGTTCTGAGTATGAAATTGATCCTCTGTCATGAATCAGTTGGTGCAAGGTATGTGATTGAGCTTTATAGGGCCTGTTGCATTCATAATTTGGTGCTAACAATCACTCTACTTTCTAGTCATCAGGGGAAGTGTCCCTGTAGTCGCAGTAGAAGCCTCTGCTTCTTTTCAGGCTTCCTGTCCCTCCCATATAAGAAGAGCATTACTTTGGGGTGGAAATTTGACAAAAACAACTTGAGAGAGACAACTGCCAGTTGTGATAGAGTCAATTTCGTACGAGTGGGAAACAGACGGTACTGTACTGTAATTGTAATCATACTGTAACCAAATAAAAAATTGTCCAGGTCAGGTCCGGTAACTGTGTGGTAACGGTGCGGTAATTTCTACCGTACATTTCCAACTCATACGAAATTGACTCTATGACTATGAGACATCRATGTCTATAACTGCAATGGACAATCAATCATGACTAAGATGTAGTAAAACTAATGATGTGTCAGTCTTGTTTTACAAATTTGTAGACCACATCTCATTCTTGTCCCTAAAAAGGTTTTTAAGTTAATCCATGTGTGCTAATCCATGAATTTCTCCTCTTTTCAGTTGGAGAATGGRCTAAGAATGGCACATTCTATCACTGTTCAAGTTAAACTTGGGGAAATGACCTTTTACTTTTAGTAACAGCTGTCACAACTTTGTCTTTTCRACCATTTACTAACTATGATACTGTACTTCATTCAGTGTTTTTGAACTAAAAGGCATCTCACCAATAATATAGTAAGTCAGGTAAAGTGACAAACAAGCTATAACCAACAAAAACACCAACACTTTATAAGGWCCAAACTCTGATAGAACATCATCAGTCCAACTCAAATAGTTTTTGTCTGAAGTGGAGYTGTGAGTTGTCCTATWTCTACCAAACACTGGGCAGCTTCTTGGCGGCTCATCTTGCATCTCATCCTGTTCCATCTTGTAGAGAAGTTCAATCACTTCCTGACTAGCACCAAAGCGTTCGGCAAGCATTGAAGGAGTATCACCATTATTGTTTCTAGATATGATAGAAAACAGGATTGTGTATTGAAACAAGTATTTTATAAGACGATCCAAGAAATATATTACTCCGAAGCATGCAGTGATGATATATGTTTCTAAGAGCTCATTAATATTTTCATGATCTCTCAGTGTCAGTCCACTAAAGCTTGGACAATTGGATCAAATGATGAATCTCTAGCTTTCAATAAAATGCTAAAAATATAAATACTGTAATGGATAAATTTACCGTCTGGATAAAGTTATCCAATTCTATATAAGATTTTCATGATTTATTCTATTCACTGCAAAAGGATTTTTTCGGTGGATAATGTTATATTCATGTACCCTTGTCACACAACTGAATCTGCTGCTGAATCTCTCGTTCTATAATAAACAAAACATAATCGAATTTTTTGAAAAAAATATTTCTGATATTAAGTTAAAATACATTGCTTTAATGACGTCAACACATAGCACTAGTACAGACTAGTACCTTTCAAAGGGCGATAATCCTTGTTCGTGAAGAAAATTCAACACRTTCACATGATTACACAAGTGTAGAAGTGTATTCCCAATATTATCCGTAACAGTTAAATCACCTCCATGACGGCAAAGCAACTTTAACATTTCTACATTTCCTCGAGATGCTGCTATGTGCATTGGAGTTCTCCCTCGCTGATCACGCTGTTTGTTCACATTAACATGTCCAAAAAYAAAGCAGCTCTCAACTTTGTAGATATCGTTCTCCAAACACGCCTCAATTAACGGTGGAATCATATCGCAATCTGAAAATCTGCTCATTTTGAGATATGATGTCGGAATCGTTTTTCGACAGGCGTTCCAGGTTGTCAAGAGAAGATACTGGTCCCTAGCACAGGCAGCCCAACTCAAAACATTTTGTGACGTAGTAATTTTTGCTTTGAATACATTTCTTCACTACAATGCAAAAATGTTCTGTCCTCGTGATCAGGTTTGGACACTAATAATAATGAAATAGTATTTTAAAAATTTTTTGTCTTCGTCTTTCCTTGGGGAGCCGTGATTTGAATTGACAGATGTAGCTTTACGGAAACAGACTGGATCCGAGAAAAGTAAGATTCACACCCCGCACTAGAACTGTTTTGTGGGTGCGGCTTGTCTCTTAATTTCGATCATTACTTTTATTTTGCTGCACTCAAGGAAACTGATGGGAAGGTGAATGAAAAYGCGCTTTTCCTTTTGCCAGGCTCTTTATGCACCGCGCGAGAAGCGTCTGTTCCACAAAATGCAATATGACAAATTGTTGCAGAAGTAAACTACACTGAAACTATACTTTATTGAATATAAAACCTACTTTCACACAGTAATATAGTAATTGTACTATAAACAATGAATATTAGATATACAGCAGAARACATATAGGTGCGATTCATTCAGATCAAAACTGAAGCTAAGAAATCTCTAGAGTACTATAAAGTCCACTCCACTACACAAAATCGTCTTTTTCCAACAAATAGTTGGTGTAAAACTTTGGTACAAAGACAGGCGCGTAGCGTGGACGTTTTGGATAGTACGCAGATGTCAGGGACCGCGACATATATTATGGATTGAGGGGGCTAAAGACCGCTGAAGACGGGAGTATTAAGGGGGGTCTTGGGGTCCTCCCCAGAAATTTTTAAATAATAACTTTTGGAAATACGATTTCTAGCGTTTTGATGTTCTTTTTGATAACGCAGCCTTGGTACGAGAGAGCAAGCATAGACAATTATATTTTAAAAAAATCAAATTTTCTCACGAAGAATAAACAGAAAGGTCACATATACTTTATTTCTTAAATTCGAAGGTAGGGTTTTAGGATTGTCTTTAATATCATTGCATTTTCTTCAAAAAGTCTTGAAATMTGGTCTCTTTTCGTCGAATTTTACACTTCAAAAAGAAAATCTATATATAATACACCACAAATGCATTATAGATGTGATCATAATCAAATGATCACCTAGTGTAGACACGAGATAAACTTTTATACACCTRCTTGCAGAAACGTTGTCATAGAAAATAGGACATTTGAATTTAGTAAAAAGGAATAAATTAAAAAAGGCAAAGGAAGATCACTGAGGCTGAACGCTTTCTTTTGTCTTGTTTTAATTTATTCCTTTTTACTAAATTCAAATCAGTTCTATTTTCTATGACAACGTTTCTGCAAGTAGGTGTATATTAAATATACTAAATTTTAAATATTTTATACAATAACTATCTTGGTTCCAGAGGTTTTCGTTTCTTTTCTGTCATCTCTAGAATCATGGGGTATACTTTATAACATTCAAAAAAACATGCCGCTAAAGGCCTATTTAAATCGTACAACTTGTAAGGATGAGCTAGGCAGGTTGCATTGATAGTTGCAGACGAAAGTTGTGCCGAGAAAATTGTCCAAACTTATAAAAGGTTAGTGTCTAATATAATGAACCGAATAACGCTTCGCGAGCTAACCTTTTCCAGGCTCTTTAATAGTCTCCTGATTCCGAGTACAACTGCTCACAWGCGCCCTAAGAATTAATTCGTTCTTTTTGCTACTCGTGATATTGGGGGTCATGGATCAGGTATTTAACTATGGGAAAGGTACCACTGAATATGCTGCAGGGA